CAGTCTAGCTGCGTGTGTGTAAACGCCGCCCTGCATGTACTAATAGGAATTAATTTTGAAAAATATAGTAAAGCACACCAAAAGTACCAAGTAACCTGTATGGACCGCCGAAATTGCAACATGCTTGTAGTTACCGCAGCAGTATCTACCCTCACTCCATAGATTAATTTCCATTGCAATGCTAAACAGAAACGCTCCTGCAGTCTCGGTTTTCTAAATGTTCTTCCTATTTTCAAACACGCAAGGTCCTGGTGTTTTTGGATCTTACCGTCGATTCCGACCAGTCACAAGGTAATTGGGCTAAAAACATCCCACAAATTGAACCTTCGCTTCGACGGCCTCCTTTTGCCTTGCCATTTAAAAAGTCAAGCGATTGCAGTCAAAGTTTTTGCTGACGTTTCGCCTTTCTCACTTTAAAAAGTAGGCCGATTCGCCCCGCTTAGTAAGAATAGTTCGTAATCGATTAGCAGAAGAACTGCAAAAGTGGAGCGCTATCGTCGACAATTTCCAACAGCGCGCTTTATGGCTAATTCGGTGCATCCAACCAAGCAAGAATAATCTTCCTCCTTGGCAATTAGTCAGTCGGTAAGTATATGCAATATGTAAAACGTTTAGCGTTTTCGGCTTACGAGGACCCAATGAAATTAGAAGTTTGACCTTTATCACATAATATTGGTTAGCTGATAACTTAGAAAAAACGAAACGAACCGAATGGACCGCTGACATACTAGCAGAATTTTAGTAAATTTAGAGGCCGATTATCGCATTTCAGGTGTAAGAAGGGAGACTTGTAGATTGTAGGAACTATATCTTTATTTGTCTGGGCTTTCAAGTTCGTACAAGAGTTCACCGTCGGAGTTGAAAGCGGCAACCGAATGGTTTTCTTCTTCATTATTGGTTTGATGTGCAAGCAGTATAAACGCAACATCCACCATGACCTATTGATAGCAATTTAACGACATTCAGAAGGACGGGTCCGTAGTCATCGGTCAATGAAACGGATGGTTCGACATTTTTTCTGACAAGGTTTCAGCGAGAGTCGAAACCCAGTTAACTATAAAGACTGACGGACAGAATGACGGTTTACATTATGCAGTAATATGAAACTATGCTTCTGGGACGCAGACATTACTCCCGATATCCATTTAAATTCCCAGACCATATACTATTAGAAAGAAATACCGGAGACCACTATACGCAACGCAGGTTTTAATTGGCCTAGAAGGCCAAAACCGGCGCACTTTGGCACAAATAATACCCTTTTAACTGGGTCTGAAGGCCGGGTTTAAATCATACGTTAAACTTAAAAAGTGTTTAAAATACGAACGTTGATGATACGATCTTTAAAAACAGTCCTGAGGATTTGTCGATCTTAAATCATGTGACATGATTTTTTGGAAGGTGAGCCGCAGGCCCAATTTTTGGAAAAAAAAGCCCATTTAGCAGTTATGAGGTTTTCCCAGCAGACTTATTCTTACGATGCAAAGACCTGACATCCGAACTGAAGGAGTGCGAAATTCCTTTCTCTTCATGCGGAAGACTTCGTGTCCGGAACGAACATTTGTTAAACTGCAAACAGGCAATTGGCGTATGATATAAAGTATTCAGTCAAAGAGCAAGGAAATCTCAAATTATTTGTCCCCTACGTCAACCGTCATCCTATTCTATCTGATATCCAGTGGCGCCGTCTCGTCGATGATAATGCAAGTTTGGGTACGATTGTATTTTTATCCAATTCTAGTCAAATAAGAAATTCCAATATGGCAAATAATAAGTTAACGAAATAAACGTAAACATTCAATTGTAGAATTGACCCCTGTAGTATTAGTAAATTCGGATGTAAGCGTGAGAATGATGTTATCTTTGAAGCAACTGGTGTCTGCCGTAAGCGGTAGAGAAAAAGGGTTGTTGTTTCAACTAATGCTGCTACCCTACAATCTGGCATATTTATTTGCTAAATGCCAGGTTTCAGCTAGTAGTTCGATGGAAAGGTGCTGTCTAATGCACTTTCAAAAATGTGAGGAGTATCTGATGGACGTGGATTCTTAAAATGGCTAGACACGCCTTTATTACTGGCGTCGTAACGCCATGGTCTTTTTTATTGCTGACCTTGAGAAAACTGATATCTTAGTTGACGGACAGGAAAATCATAAGCCAGCGTCTACAAGTTCCACCCTTCATGTCAAGCTCTCACTGTAACTAGAATAGGTATTTTAAACCGGATGACGGGTGGATAGAGAGAACAATAAGGCAGAACGTAGACAACAGGCCCGAAATAAACCTATAAGGTTGCGTGAGTATGCAACTGCCGTCAAGTTAAGAGTACAGTCTGAAAGCCAGAACAAAAGGGGTCTGAGCATGACCCATTCTATTTCGCATTCTATCGTTTGGAATTGTCCTGCTCAAAGAACTTTCCACTAGCTGGCCTCCAGTTTTGGCATGCATCTAATTTCAACTGCAAAAAGGAGCATGAAATATGATTTGAACATTAAGCTTGAGTCTCAGACATGTAAAAACAAGCGGTAGGCGATAAGAGTAACGCACCTTCTGGCGCTGCTCTCATCAGCATCAAAATCAACATCAATATTTCACGACACTATCTTGCTTCGTCGCAAAATGGAGGAAGAATATGTTGTCGAGAGACGTAACAGTTTAGATCACTTCAAGAAACTGATTTGAGTGAAGCTTTATGCTAATGTTGTATGTAGTCGACAGACATAGTAGGCCAGAGGAGGCGGAAAACGACTTTCTACCTTATTAGCCTTTAAGCAACCTCTGGCTGATGACCTTAGAGCATTTATTAGTGCCTGTGCTCTATCCCCCTTCAAAAAATGATAAAATGGCGTTATGAATGATGACTGTGATATTTTGTTTAATCAACATAACACTAAACTTTATAATACAAGTTTAAGTAGAAGCATAGTTTTAAAACACTTCTGAAAGTTCTCTATACTACTGATGGACTTGCGAAGCTCAGCACCCCTGTCTGCAGATTTTTGCGCGACGTGCCCCTTTCATGTGTCACTCAATCAAAATTTGGGTTATTTTCGATGCAACAGACCCTTTTCGTAGTTAAATATTCCAAAAGAAAACAGGTGAGGCTGCGCGTTAAGAATGGAATCTTGAACGGCTGATTAGCAGCCCGGAAGCGATTTAGAGATAGGAGTTATAAAAATTGATTCTTATAGATCGGGCTATTTAACTATGCTCCACTTCTCGAGTGGTCCGCTTTATAATCAGTACACACGTATCAATTACTGAGCATAAAACCCGCTGTCTTGTTGTAGGCATGCAATCGCATCTCACATCTAGCTTACTATAGCCCTTGGAAGGCATGGGAGCTCTCCCAAAGAAATTAAACTATCGTCATAATACACATGTGGGTATTTTAGATATCTGAATTATTTATCGAGAGGGTCTGCAATTACCCAACGTCAAGCTTGACCTTTCAAGGGAAATTTATAATGGGGCTGTGACATTCTGCGAATGTTTCCCTAGAACTGGGATCTTTAGGCATATTCTCTAGCATGGCCACTTTCAGGTTTAAGTTCGCAGCCGCGAGTCAACGGGGGCTCTCAAACGCATCCGCCGGACCAACTGTTAGGACGGCCCAGAACATGACTCACCGTTCCTGTCGGCCGGAGGGCAAAGAACCGCAAACGGGCAGGACAGCCTCAACTAGGAAGCCCGCATGCGAGTCAGACATTAGCACGCCGCTGAGTCACGCGCGGCCTACAGGGTCAGCAACACGCGAGGGCCTGCCCATGCGGGCGCTCAGGACTGGAGCGGTAGGAACACGCAAACCAGACGAAGGCTGAACCCTTAAATACGAAGTCACGGACGGAAGGATCAAGAGTTGATGTACATAGGGTGACCGACGCAGTAAGGCTGTTCTCTGGTTTCCTGTCTGTCTCATTCCGCACAGAACTCGCGTCATACTATTGGGGGACATAACACCAACCCGTCGAGTCACTTTAGAGGAGGTGCCTGCGAAAAACGCAAAAAACATATCCAGTCCGATTATGAAAACTCCGCTGAGATTGGAATATATTTTATTTGATAAATTCAAACTAGTGCATTTATCTCAGGCGGCTAGTTAACGCTCTATGGTTCTAGCTGACGAAGTCGAGACTGCTTACTGCTCCGGCATCAGCATGTAGGTTATCACGAAATGGGCATCCCAAAATTCCTCTGTGCTATCTATTATGTGGCGTGACGTGTCAATCAGTTGGTTGGCTGGGGGATACCAGGTTCGAAACTTCTGATGGTCAACATTGGTCAACACGGAAAGTTAAAAAGGATCTTTTGATGCTAGACCTCTGCAGTGGCTAAGGCAATTAGTTCTCGCCAACACTTGGTCGCAAAGGTTCGAGTTGTTTTGATTGAGATGGATTGTCTTTATAGGGACAAAAGTAATTATTGTTTGCTTGAAATCGCACTTTGCGTAGGGATGTATCGGTCTTATCTGAAAACCCTGCTCGACCAACAAGATGAAAAGCACTAGTACGCTTAGAAAGGAAGAGATAGACGGCCTTTGTCGACGAAACAGCCTTCTAGGGACAGGGCCATATTTGGAAAGCTGCGCAGAGAATTCAAGTCGTGGCACTTGCTAAGAAAGTGATCTATTTTAAAATATACGGCTGTTTGAATTTAAAAAAAGGTTTCGATTAATCGAATGACGGAATGAACTTAGGTACTACTGTATTTATTTGCAAATACCATTTCTGAAGCAACTGTTGTATGAAATTCAAGAGAAATCTGATATTTTAGATAAAAGTTTGATTATAAATCTTATGGATGTGAACTTAGACACTGCTGCAAGACTCTTTATTTTGGAGCATAATCAGACTTCTCGACGTAAATGCGCATATAAAAAGCAATTTTTAAGCAAATTGTACATACCTATATAACAAATGAATTAAAAGTCATAACAAAAATGAAACCCTAAAAATCTTGGCTTGCCTAAGAGCATAAAAATGAGAATCGACTTAATGTTCGTCTTACATGCCATAGCCGAGCACCATTTCCACAACGATGTAGCCGAGACCCCAAGAATCGATGAATTGGTTCGCCGCGTTCGGTTGGCTGTAGATTTCGGGCGCCAAATATGCAGCAAAGTAGTAACGTGTTGGTGGCTCATTTACGTCAATTATTTCCAGATCATCTTCGTTGAGTAGAGTATTGTCCTTAGCCTTTCTGCCCGAATCAGGTTCCGTCACATCGGATCTCGCTGTTAGCTCTCCACCATCGCCTTGTTTCCGAATAGATGGCAGGAATTTGGCCATTCCGAAGTCAATAAGTTTTGGTCGGTGTTGGGAATCAAGGACAATGTTTTCGGCCTTCAAATCCCTACGTTATAAAGCCAAAAGATAGTATACATACTGTGGTCATTAACAATATTGTACATACAGGCTGACCTTAATGTATAAACAAACACGCCGATAATAAATGACACGACAAAAATGTGTGCTCATGCAATTGTTCAATCCCCAAAACGGGTCACGCGGCAGACTCTCTGGACTAACACAGGGGTCACATTGGATTCTGTTAGGCATTGTCGGCAATGCCCACTCATAACAAATACCAACATTCAGATGCGGTGACCGGCCCAGTCACTGGTTCACGACGCGCCAATTTGGATCCGAGCCGGCCCCCAGACTTGTTGTTGGTTGAATTCCTGGTCAAGCGTTTGTTGTGGACCAAGGGATGTGGTGGTACGCCTAGATTCGACTCTGGGCGTGCCAGCCACCTGCGCCTTCTCCCGTCGCCGGTTTTCCTGACTATGTCTTGACACCGAACGGGGGTTGGGAAGGAGGAGTGAGTGCGGTAGATGTTTTACAAGTCTACTAACACTGTAAACTAATTCATGCACAAGTCACTGTGCATACTCCCAGCCTGCTGTGGAGCACACAGTGGATATGGTCGGTCACGATGCTAAAACTGCCAGTTTAAAAGATTTAATTTGGCTTTCCTAAGATAAAATACTATGAAATGATGACGAAATTATGACTTCAGTCATAATCAACCCTCAACTCTCTACTTACAGCCTACGCAATGGTCTATTTATCCATGAATATAGGCAGCATTTTTGCATGCGATATCGATCTTCCATCTAATATGACTGCTGCCTTTCAAAGATATCCAGATTTTCAAATGCTAAACTTGACAGCGATTTACTACTAAATCCCGTGTACTATCTCATTTATACGCACATTTCGGGCACTCAGTAAAGTGAGAGACAGATGTATCGAGTGTGTTGAAATTCCATAAATTGAGCTGTAGAACGTTAACATCTTTCGTTATATTTATGTAATGCTTACCGATAAACAATGCATTGATCATGCAAGTAAGCCAACGCGGTCAGTATGCAAGCGGCATAGTAGGTAACGTAGCACTCAGGGAGAGTACCAACACGGGCTATATGATTCCACAGACAACCTCCCTCCAGATACTCAAATGCCATGAAGAGCGCAGTTTCAGTCTCGTAAATATGATAGGTCCTAAAATACACGAAGATCAGCCTGAGCGCTATAAGTCCATTCCGGGAGGATGGAAGTTAAAGAAACATCCGCCCGTAGGGAACGCAAGCAAAAGGTCGCCCAGTCGGGGAATAAATTATTTTCGAACCGGTCATAATGTCGAGTTTTGTAGTTTTATCCTGTAAGCAATGTCGTTGATTGTGGGTTGTAATGGTTATGCAACACCTCGAATAAAGGTTGTCCTTTGGGTTGACAAGTTGTCACTTTCTGAATAACATTGAAATTAACCTGCTTTTACACTTGCGTTTGGAGTTTCCAAACTACAAACCGCATACATTTCGCGTACGGAAATTTAAAATTCCACTAAAATTTTTGTTAGCAGTGAAATATACAATAGGCTCATACAGTTATGCAATGGACTATATTGTATAAATCATAAGGATCACTTACAAACGAATGTACGATGCTATTTAAGTCAAATTTTTAAGGTCTCAAAAGCCACGTATAATAACTTTTTTAAACCGAAAGATGCCATTTGACGAAGAGGTGCCTTTCCATCACATGAAGGCAAAATGGGATGTTGTTATTCATTTTTCTATAACGCAAGGGCACTGCCAATCACTGTGAAAAGACGCGATATTTAAGCACGCCATTTTACAAGGTGTGGGTGACCGAAATAAGTGCATCAAAAAGCCGCCATCCTCACATGACTGATATATCTCGGGATTATGGCGACCAACACTCCATATAAAGGCCCCACCAGAGTGTTTCTTTCTAAGCGAAAACACATTTCGAAATTTTAACTAACATTTCATGGGACACGCACCCTGCTGTGCTAGCGACAAATTCCTGCGACAATGCACTCCTGTATCCGAGCCTCCATTTTGCATGACGTTTTTCTCATATTCGTTAAGTAAGTCCTCATTGCATAAGGCGTTCCATCAAACGTTTGTCCCAACTTGGCATTTTTACTTTTCTCTGCCATACGACGACAGGCGCTTCGAGTTTGGGGGTTTTTGATGTTGTGCATCGCATAGGCCCAAAAGGTGTGAGCGGTTAGCGAGAACCAGCCGTCAGATGAACCGAAAGAGAGGGATGCGGTTTGTATTTTTTAAGGGTCAAAGATCAGGCTGTTAATATTCGCCCACTCGTCTGTATGCACACCCTTTATCCTTCGGTATACAGCTTCTACAGATACTAATGGAAAAAATAATTAAAGCCAATACTTGACTGCCGCTTCGTGAAATATTTACTCACTGCTATTTAGAATGTCAAAGGCAGTTATGAGGAAAATGATGTTTACCATTTTATAAAGAATCATGCCCATAAGGTCGCACACAAATGGTATGCTGATGCATTTGCACGTTGCAGCAAACGAGAACACATTTACAAGACCACTGCCAGTGGCTTCATGTATGCATTCAACTTCTTCCTTTTGGCCTGCTATAAGGTTCAAGTGTTCAGATTATTGTAGGTGGGGTCACTCCGACGGCCAGAGACAAAGCATTGATGGCATTACAAGTAGTATCTAATCTACAGAGCAGTGCATAAGTTCAATATAACCAACATCCAGATAGATGCGGTCACCTCCGGCTTCAGTATGGTCTTATTAATTTAAACAAGAGAGTCTGTGTTGTTGAGCACCATGTATGCTAGAGGTCAATCGGTTTCTAACACTGAAAGGCAGTCGCAGTACCACTCATCGATGGAACTCTAGACTGGACTGCGTGACACTTCAAGCGGGTTGGCTTCTTTTTGGAGCCAGAGGGCATCGTTAGAAATGGCATCTGACCGGAAAACGTGCTTTAGTAGTCTTTTTGAAAGTGCTTTATACCAATTTGTCAGTCCACAATCATGTTGAGTAATCACAATCTGTGGTAAAGGACGTCCAGCCCACAGGTACCCAAAAGCTACCTAAGCAACTAAGAGTGTATTTAAAAAAAATTTTACGCCTGTCGACAGTCAGCATGAAACTACACGAATAGATTAGGCTGCACTATAGTGTAAAACCAGTTACATCGAAATTTATAATGTCTGCGAGTTTTCCACTGACTTTCGCAAAAGTATTTCGCAGCGACGTCTCCTGGGTGCCCTTCAACCAAATGTACAGTGTCATCAACTGTTGGGTTAATTTTCCCCAGGCAAACTGGCTCATGTCTGTAGTAAAGATATGGTTCCCATGAGACATGCGAAAATAAGAAGAGTCGGTCACTGGGAAAGGTTTATTGTAGGTCTGACGTTTCGAGTTGCTGTCCAGCCTACCCATCTCCCGAGTATGGAAAGGCCTACGCACAGCTCCCATCATATGGCGCACTCAGCTTTTCTTGTAGCCCCGCTAGTGTCGACTGTAGGGTTGCCTGGCATCCGCGTTTCATTGCGACCTGTATCTCTCCCGCCCTCTGTGACAGGTATGCCTATTTGCTTTACCCCCCTAAAAAGGTTGTCCTTTGGCTCCTTATATTAATAGAAATTCGAGCGTATTTGTAGTTGAAATTGCAATGTTCAGAAAAGTCAAATGAAGTTAGATATTCAGTGTCTACTAATGTCAACTTGAACAACTATACCCCGACTGTAACCGGAATACACAGAAGCATGTTTAAAAAACGATTAAGACGAAAAACTGCAAAAAACGGTCTAAGCTTGAAAAGTATTTAAACTTCTTACGGCACAAATATATTGGATAGAAGTGTGCCTGGATTATTTACGCATATTAAACAACGCGCGGAACCCGTAATTTTCCTTATTATATCAGGCAATTTTACGAAGATCCTTCATTTCTGACGTTAACGGATGTTCCATATCCTTGGTTCAAAAATCTAGGTCAGCAGTGATAGGAATGTTCTGATATACATTTTTTAAACAAACGATGCACACATTTCCGCGTATATAAAGGGCTTCAAAATAAGTTAGAGCTTATCTTTAAAGCACACAGTTCTAACTTAATCATACTTCGACGATAAATAGCAGAAAGGTGACTCGAAGTAATGTGTGCAGAGTCGTGTCCAGGAGGTTTTATAGTCTATACTCATCTATTTGACTGCATGGAAGATCATTCACAAAAGATAATGTTGGCTTCTGGCCTAAAAGACAAAAACGAATGAATGGCGCAAACGATCGGTTGAGACCTCCCTGTGCAAAATGATGGCCTCTTCCAACTTACTGGGACGGATAACCAATAACGTAGTAGGTGGCCAACCCATTAAACTGGCAACTGAAATCCTTATGATTTGTAGGGGGCACAAGGTTTGCTGTTATTTCCACTTACCGGATTCATTTTCTTACGTAAAATGCCTTTCCTAAAGTATATTCTGTTTAAACCTCTTCGACTTGGACCGCTGAACATCTGCACTTCGTCTAGTATCCCTGGCCCGAATCTTATTAAAAAGACATATACACTTAACAGAAGAAGTTAAAAAAAAGAGAAACCCGTTTTTGCTAAGTAGGTTTTTTGTTTAAGCTTTCCTAGAAAATGGGGTCATTTCCACGCACGCATGCATGACACTTCATGCTTTACCTCTCAAACCGTAGATACGTTGACTGAACTATGTTTTATCGACCAAAGAGCACAGGTGACAATATTGCCGGTTGACACTAGTAGACGAATTCAATTAGCTTGCTAAAAACGTTTCGGACGACCTGTTTTTGAAAATTGTAAACGCGCTAAGCTCTATTATATGAACCTCAGTATCATTCCTGAGTGGTCTGCCGATTATGCAGGTAGTTTTTTTTAGTATATCGACAGATCTTGGAATTCATACATTTTCGATTTCATCCATACGTTTATATCCATCCTTCAATATTGAAGCATATTCTACTTCGGTTCAAAACTAACGCTAGGCTCGGTGGTATTAATTGGGGTTTTATAATGTTTCATACGCAGAACAATACAGATTGTAATTTACCAATCAATATTTAAATTGAAAAAAACATATGATTAAATGCTTATAAACTGAACTGGAAACAGCTAGCCACATATTACAAGCCGCCACCTTCTTCTGTGGCCGTACGTCTTTTCTTTCAAGGAGACTAACGTGTTTGCATGACAGTTGTTCTCATCGCCTAGCATAACTGGAAATATTCTTTTACCGACTTAAAGTAACAAAGGGAATTTTCTTAGTTCTTATGAATAGCCTATTAAGTACAATTTTGATGGTTGTGCTAAACACGCTGCTGAGATTAATATTGTACATTTTTGCTATCTCTGATGAAAAGTGTAAGTTAAGCTTCCCAGGTGGAAACGGGTGGCGAACATTCGGACTTGTGAATTTGTTCCTATGGACAAGATGTTGTGATTAAAAATTCGTTTTTAGAGTAGTTCCACGACATGCCCTTTATTTATAGGCTTGGACAGTTAAGCACAAAATGTGGCTTTCTAAAACTCGAAGTTGAAAAATTCACGCAATGAACAGCGCAAGTTACGCAGCATAAAACTTTGCCAACAGTCAAATAATAGGACATTTGTGATTCATATAACTGTTTGTGTTATAAATAAATTCAAAATTTTAAGCAAACTATGAGTTCTTTATTTGGAATATTAGTGATTACTATGATTTATTTCACATGAACATTGACTTTACGAAAGACGTAACTAACCGTTGATTATTAAGTCAGTCGAATTTAAAAAGCTTTTGGTTAAAAAATTAGCATAAAAGGAACTACAGATAAAAACTAAACCTATCACTAAATTCGGCATATTTATAAGGCCCTCCTTTCATTACGATTCGCGATCACGGCTTGGCGTTTGCAAAGTGGAAACACTTGTCGACGCTTCTCTACTCCTATCTCTATCGTGCCCGGACGATGATTAAAATGAAGATATAAGAGTAACCACCTCAGTTTGTCAACACACCTCTTTCCATTGACATAACCTCACAACGCCTGCGCCAAACGGTTACAAAACTGCATATGCACTTGCTTTGGGAAATTACGCTGCAGAAGTAGTCAATAGCAAAAGTAAAACGAACAACAATTACTTGACCACAAACGGGTAATGCAAATTTCTGAGGATTTTGGCTTCTCGCCGTTCGATGCGCCAGTTGCTTGCGTTACGTTCATCACGGATCTTGAATTTCAGGGCATACTGCATCTGAGTCTCCGGATTCTGCACCCATGCTACTGTTCCTTGGCCCCCAGAGCGGATTCGAACTGGCTTCATTAACTCAAATTCTCCCAACGACGGTTTTTTTTCAAAGGTTCCTCTGGGTGTTATCTCGTTTCCATCAACCAGTATAGTTTCCGGTTCGCTGGTGTGCCACTCGCTGATTACAGGCTTGGACTGCAAGACTGCCAGGTTCTCCGCGTGCATGCACACACATATTTTGCTTTTTGTGTAGACCTCGTGTATTCCAGTAGGACAGAGGTTGAGTAGACACCCAACACCCCTCGGCTGAACCTCCTCCGACCTCTCAGATCCATCTGCGAGACTCTGCGTTTGTTCATGCTCAGCAGCGAAGCTCTTGCATAGCGTGCTTCTGTGGTTTTCATTTAAATGTCCTAAAGCACAGATTAATCAGTCGTCGGCATGCTGCTGGTGCAGAAAGCCACTCAAGTAAAATATGAGAAGTACAGAAAACTATGCGGGTTATAATATGGACTGTTCACAATCCTAAGCTTACATTCACATTCTTAGATCTCATACGTAAAGGAAGTTTCAGAAGCGAAAGAACGCATTGCTGCGGAGCTAAGTGTTTGAATTGCACACCGTCCCCAAGTCATGAAAATTAAGGACCGATTAAAGCCTGAGGAGCGATCTGGAGTAGTGTATCTTGTAACTACACAGGCCACATTGGATGCATGCTCAGATCCTGCACACACGAACATAAGCCGGCTGTGAGACGAGACGAAGAATTATCACAAGTGGCCGCCAACACCTACGAAATGGGTCATGAAATTAACTTCTCAGCCATCAAGATAATCGCCCACGCCGGAAACAAAACAGGCCGAGAATTTATTGAGGCCTGAGCCTCGGATGAGAACTCAGTCAATCGATTTGTCGATCTGGTCCTGGTGTACAAAGTTCCTCGCAGTTGCCTCCAAGCTTGTACTGTTGATAGATGATTGGCTAACACGCCCCATAACTGTCGCTTGTTCTGTTGCAGCCAGTATCTCTGACAATGGACTCCTGCATGAGTTTGAAAGCCTAGAACAATAAACAAAATGTTCCGGTGCTCGACCACCCTTCCTCTTCTTTTAAGTGGTCATCCTCGTCGTCATCGTCGCCGTCGTCTTCTCCTTCTTTAGTGAAAGGTATTCTTAGGAGCTTTGTTTAAACTCCTCTCAGTTAGTGCACACTTCATATGACCAAGAAATACAGGCTGCCAGGTGCTGAAGCCTACGTATGCAGTGCGAATAGCCAACTGTTTGCGCATAACTGAAAGCTTTTGCCCACTTTTGGCATTTCGTGAATAAAATACGCCGAATTAGGGGGAAAATATGCGTTTTATAGAGATGAAGGCCGACTGTGAGGATAAAAATACACAAGCAAATCTAAACTTGGGATATGAAAAAATAGTAGGTGCAGTCTGATAGCCGGTATTGGCGACAGTCTTAATTGCCTTCTTTTGTGTGTTCATTTTTGAGTATGATTTGGCCGTAGAGGCAGGTGGATTTCGAATTGTGCTTTTCTTAAACAAAGCAAACATTGTAATCTTTTATGATAAAAGTAGTCTGATAGGATTTATTTATGATAAAGTGCAAGTGTTAATTCATTTATTGTCATAGGAGGTCATAATGTGTAAGCAATTGCGGTGAATGCATTCGGTAAGACATCTGACAATATAGGGAAAAAGATTAATGATTTTTCAGTTCGAGGGTTATGCAGAAATTTATTTCTTGTCGGTTTATTGTAATATGCTACACTGTCATCCTGCATATCACAACTCATCCAATTTATCTGAATATCCACCTTTTGTATCAAATGTTTGCTGATCAACGCATAGGATTTCTAAGAGAAAAGTTTACCCAGGTGGGTTTCGAGCACAGGACAGTATTAAACGCATTTGCATATTGGTGTATGCAAAACAGTGCTGCTTTTCGGTGTACTCCTTCTAGATATTTTTTCAAATAAGGTTGTAATCCATTAGAAACAAAGTATCTAAAATAAGACCCTTGCATGCAAGAGCTCTATCATTTTTACTCATCTTGGTCGATCAAAGAGATTAATACATCTAACAGTTTGATGATTGGCGATTGTGAACGGCTGATCTGGTCATTCGACAGCTCGACCGTATCATCTTGTTCTGATATAAGCTCTTCAAATCACCTGCTCCGGTGCTCACCAACGCAGGAAAAGTTTGATGTCCCGCATTTTACCATGCCGGCGAACGGAGAAGTCGACATTCTTCTGATGTCCTAAAAGTCTGTCTCTGATATTTCGTTGTCTGGTAAGCGAAAACCGGGTAAGTTGAATACTATATTACTGGCTAGAGATGACCGCTGACTAGATTTTAGAAATTCGTTCAAACTTCCGTGAAGAACAGATGCCGATGCTGAGAAGCAGCGGGGCCAAACGAGGAACGTCATCCACTCTACTATTCAGAAAGACCTAAGTCATGCAGGTCTTCATCATTGGGACCGGTCCGATGACAATGATGCGTAGATCTGCAATCAGCTGCCCAAGAAGAATAAACTGCGCATGACCTATGTCAACCAAAGACGCAAAAACAAGAAGCGGTTTTCTTCCGATGTCGAAGTCTTCAGTAGTAAAACATACGATCAGATCAAAGGAACGCCGATGGGTTCACCAACATCCAGCCTGGTTATGGAACTAGTCTTACAGGAGCTGTAAAAAGTCACCTTCAACCGCAATGAACCTGCAATCTGGCGCTAATGCGTAAATAATGCGCTCTTTATAATTAAAAAGAGCGGACATGCAGATTTTCAAGACCTGCTTAACGACACAATCCCCGAAATCCAGTTTACAGGGGCAGAAGAGCATGCCGGACGGTTGCCTTTCCTTGACGTCCTCGCCACACGCAGACCCAATGGAGAACTCGGCATCACGGTGCATAGAAAGGCGACCAACACCATACAAGTTCTCTACTACCATAGCAACCACCTAGCGCGCATTAACGCGGCTGTATCAGGGCACTCTTCCAAAGGGTGAAAACTCGTTGCAGTGAACCGGAAGGGCGAGTACGATAACTGCAGCAACTCCAGGACCAACTGACAAGGAAGGTACACCCAAACAGCTTTGCAGCCACTGCCTTTGTGCGTGTCTGCGGGTGACAAACGGAGGAGAGCCACCAACACTCCGTAACCTTTCACCGTATTTAAAGAACTTCTCAAAAGCAACGGATCGAATCGCTGCAGAGCGCGGTGTGGGTATCGCTCATCGTCCGACAACAATCATGCAAGTGAAGGACCGATCAGACGCCGGAAAACAATCTGGTGTCGTCTATCAGATCTCATGCCGCGACTGCCCTTGTATTATACAGGACAGAACGGATGACTTACGAATAACGGTGGCATTCCGAAGAGGCCACCCGCTGTCTCACGTCACTACTGACACCCTGGAGGAAGGCCACGAATTCAGCTTTGTGAGCCAGTAATATGGCAAGGTGAGAACTGCTTCAAGCCTCGGCATCTGACACCGACTCCATTAACAGACGACGCCGTGAGACGGCATAGACTCAGCCTTATCGCACACATCTCTTCCTCTGCCCCTACCGGCCCGTCCCCCTTTGTTTGACAGCAAAACTGCACATATGTCGTTGCATTCTCACAGTCTCTAATGATGGCCTCCCACACGAGACCGAAAGCTCAGATTAACACATGCGCTGTCCCAGTAATAGCGCGTTCTTCTTTTTACAGAAGTGCCTGAGAGATGCATAATCTTTAAGTGTATTACAGGGCTGATGAAATACAAGGGTACGCAGACTACATACAAGTGAAAAACTTGATCGCATCAATTAAGACGGTATGCAGTCCTTGGGCTAGGAGGACTGCACCGCTGCTCAGTTCTAGCGGGACCACCCTCCTGGCGGAATAATCGCAAATTCTGGAGACCTGAGCTTGGCATTTCAGAGACCTTTTCAATCAGACATCTGATAAAGTCATCAATAAGCTTCCTCAAATGCAGGCCAACACAGATCTGGACAGTCCGCCCTGCTGCAAGAAACCACCAAAGCTGTCGACCAGATGCTTAGAGAATACGGCAAGGGTGCTGACTTGCTTCTAACCGATATTCGCATGTATGTTGGTCCTCGACTGATGGACAATCTCACCTTACTGGTTTAGCTCTGGAGGCAGTCGTGGATCCTCCAGAACTTCAAGGACGCCAGTATCGTACATTTTGTAGGACTCGAGGGAAACTGAAAACTTAGCAATAACCGCCTGAGCCTCACACCTTCTCCTTGGAATTAATGTTAATTTCTATGGAGCCAAGGAACCATAGATGCGATATTCAGCGTCGTCAAATACAACAGGCGGACAACACTGGACACCACCTGCATAGATTCGGCACAGAATTCGATACAGTAAACCGCAACGGAACCTAGAAAATTATGCTGGGGCTCGCGTGTCTGGAACATTTCGGGATGAAGACTCACGTCACAGACAGGATCCTTGATGTGGAAGTAGCGGAAAGCACCGGAATCTCCAGTGTTCACGCTGTGCTGCGGCAGATTCGCCTGAGTTGGAGTGGCCACGCACTAAGAATGAATGAGGAACGCCAGCCCAATAGATTATTCTACGATGAAGTCGCAACTGGTTCTCGCCGTCAAGTTAGACTAAGGTGTCGTTACAAGGTGACCCTGAAGATCATGCTTCGCACGAGTGGAAGACTTTGTTGGCTTTGCCAATCCCTGAGTCTGCATATATCTGCGGTAGTCATGACAATGTCTTGCCATCGGAGAAGGAAAGAGAGTGTCAATGGTGCTCGCAAGTCTGTTCCACCATAAGGTACCTCACGCACATGTCAACGCTGTGCACTCACTCTGTGACGTCGTCGTCCGCGACGGTCGGACAGTTCGTACTACATCTGACCTGTCAGGGCAAGATATGCGCGCCTAACTTAAGGGGACGATTAATGATAGTCAAGTAAATGCTCCTCTGTCCCCCATGGCAAATCCGTACAAACAAACGTCCTGGACATCGCAAACAATAGCTGACATGTCAACACAATAAGGCACGTTACTTATGCAGCCTGGGAATTATACATGCAAAATTTGAAGTAATCTCCATAAAACGACCCTTAGAAGCAACCACTAAACGCAATTATCATAGTACACAGTTGGAGTTAGCCCAAATATTAGGCCCTTGGCTCTGAAGACACGGCTCCTACCCAAACCAGAATTAATCCATTTA